GGCTGAGCGATGGAGATGGGAATGCACTTAATAAAAATGAATAGTGGAAGAAATATATTGGAATATAAATAAATATAAAATACATAAAATCATGCAGGTTAAAAGATGGAATATGTATGACAACATAATCCTGGAAACCCTAAAAAAAAACAATTTATAAACTCTTTTAAAGTATTATTTTCTTCTTGTGTATGATAGCTTTAAATCAGGATGGCTCTAAACTGAACTGACTGGGATCTTATTGGATGGAATAGGATGGTCTCTGGCCGGTCGGCTGGCTGGCTGCCTTCAATCAGTCGAACGCAATTCGAGCTGACAACATGTCGCAAATGCGTGAGGCTTTTGGGGGAACGAAGGGGGGAGCAGCAGCCATGTTACAACATGGACCGCTCTTATGATTATATAGATTATATTGCCTGGCAGCAGCTACATCCTCCATCCTCCATCCTCCAGTCCAGTTGGCCGCATGTAATCCACATAGATGCCCCTCGTCGATTCCCGCGGCTGGCGTGATTGAAAGATTGAGTGCCAGGCACAATTAAAGTGCTGCCCGATGATGATGATGTATGTATAGCAATTGTCACAAGTCCTAATTTGGTTTGCCTGGCTTAAGCCCAATGCAATGGAACAGGTGCGAGAGAGAGCAGGTGGCAGGAAAAAATGAGGACATCTATTTGAATAGAATTTATTTGATAAATCAGAAATGCAAAGGAGGGACTCCAATGAATAGTTGAGAAGCCTCAAGGCTTCCTCTATGGCAGTAATTCTCTTACATCTTTAAAGTGAAAGCAACAGAAATCAATTTCTTATTGAGCTTTATTACACTTGAAGAAAGGTAGAGAAAAGTATGATTAAAAAGCGGTCACAACATCATGTGGAGATTTCCAGAAATATTTAAAATAAAACGCATTATGAAGTCTACTCTCTCTTGAATATCTTTCAACTTCTGAAGGATCTTCTAACCATTAAAACTTGTTAACTACCCAAGTTCAAATGGGCAATATTTTCCCTTGTGTAAATAGCAAAAAACTTTGCTGACTTTGCCGACTCATCCAGCGTGTTTATGGCCAGCAGAAACCTTCATTATTTATGTGCTTATCGCGGTGATAAACCCGACTCAACGGCATTTGCCTGCGGACTGAGCTTGGTACTTCCCCTCTTCTTTTTTTTCAGTTTTCTTTCTAGGGAGTTAAACAAATCATTAAGTACATCAGGGGGATGGGGGGAGCTCAATCAAACGCCCATTCTGGGGAGCATTTGTGCACCTGTCGTCGTCGTCGCCGTTGCAGCCAAAGGCGCCTGGAAATCTGCGGAAAATTGCGGAAATGCGCTTCTGCGGTTCTTATTGGTAGCAGCATAAAGCCAGATTATTGGAGGCAACAATAAAACTGCGCAACAATCAAAATAATACAAGATTTACAACGAAACGCAGTGGAGTTGGAGCCGGTTCGAAATAAGCGGGAGATTCCAATTGGAGATGGTGCCAGTAAACAATTTATAATTGAATTTAATCAATTTAAGAAATATAATAATCTTGAAATAAAGGAAAAGTTGCTTACTTTAAACGTATATTTACTTAATTCAAAGTACTGTAAATATATTTTAAAATAAATTATTCAATTATTTAAAAACTCAACCTGTCGATATCGATTTTTTTTTCGATATTTTCCATTTCCGATTTCCACTCCCCATTGGCAATCGCCCATCCCCAATTCCGATTCCGATGGGAATGCAGATGGGCTTTTGCTTGCACACAAAAAGTGCAATGAAGATGCACAATAAAATAAATAAGCGCATAAAAGGTGAGCAGCGAAAATTTGCAGTAATTTGAGATTACGTTGGCATTATGGGAGGCAAAGAAAAGACCCGCCACGAGACCTGCAGTAAACCGTTGCCAACTTTTACTGCGGCGACAGCAGAAACTCAAAGCAACCCGGCCAAGACAGCCAGCGAGCCAGGTCCACAAAGCCGCAGCTGTTAATGAATGGCAATGGCTTTGTTGGTAATGAAGTGTTGGCCATAATGCCGCCATGACGATGACGACCAAGACAAGACCCGAACGGGGAAGCTCCGCCAGACATTCAGACTTTTAGCCAGAAATGACGACATTGACACAGGGGACGATAAGCCAGATAAGGAAGTCCCCAAAACCCATTGCGTTGGTCTAGTTGGCTTTTGTCTCGACTGCCAGGATGTGCTACTAGGGCAATTAGCCAAGGCCAAGTTGGAAAACTAATAGAAAAGCATGGGAATAACATGAGAAAGGGAAATATATTTAATTTTCTAGGAAAAAGCAGCAGCAGGGATAAAGTCTCGTACCAAGAAAAGAAATCCCAGATGAATAGTTTATAAATATTAATTCTTCCTAACTCTTTACCCATTAAAGCAAAGATTTATCTATAAGAACTATCATAAATATATTTGCTTTGGAATTTCTGAGCTCCAAATCGATTCTCAATCACCGTGGCCGCACTAAATCCTTAATGAATCTTCTGCAATTCGTTTAGTCATCTCGGTACTGAGCATAAATTATAAACATATACATATGTATGCACAAGGCCTAATGGAAAACTTTGATATGGTCGTAAAAAAATATGACGTAAAATATTTTACAACCCAAACATGGCTATAAAGCTCAACTACACAAAATGTGTGCCAAAAAGAGAGGAGAATCCGAAGAAAAAATACTACACAATTCGATCCTCTCCGAACTTTTAACTTCTCCTTTTTTTGGTGTAGTAAAAATCAAAGAGAATTCAGTGTTTGTAGTTAAATATTTGTCTTTGATTTAAGCCGGAGTTGGGAGCTCCATCTCCATCTGCATTTGAATCTGCATCTCCCTGTGACCACTGCCATTGTCTTGGCCAGTTTCTCTCTCCGGTTTCATTTTTTCTCTTCTACCAATAGCTGGGAGGCTTGACACATGCAAGACACAAATCATGATTTGCCGGGTAGATGTTACAGCTGCGCCCCTTCTGTGGACGTCAACAATGAAATTGTCAAGTGTTGACAAATAAATTTGAGGATTTTCGAGGAGATTTACTTATGCTAATGAAAGACACTTGTCACAGATACTCGCACTCGCACTCGTCGCCACTTTGCGGCATCGCCTTGAAGTGCTCCGGCCACGTTGCTTCGCATAAATATGTTTGCTTTTGGTAGTTTTCCTCGGCCTGAAGCTTGACTGAAGCCTGGCTAAAACTTGGCTTTCAGCTGATGCTTTGAGCCGGAAAAAGTACCGTAGCAAATTTGCAAAGTGAAAGAATTTGAGTAGAAACACTAAATTAGCAAGTGGCAAAGAGAGAAAGAGGAGTTCCTAGAAAAAATTGTAGGACCTGGAGAGTTCGTCACATAAATATTTATGAATGTTTGAGGTTGTGAAATGAATTGCAGTGCCAATGATGGCACTAGTTTTAGAGATTCAACAGTACTCAAAACAAAACATTTGAAATTATTTAAATAAATTTAAAACCAAGCTGCAGATGTAAATAAAATCCATTTTTAGTTTTAGTCATTTTTCTAACCGTGTAGCATCTACCAAAAAATTTCAAGTTGATTGGAGGTCACATCCGTCGCTCAACCTAATTAGAGTCCACCTGCACACGATGGGATCCGAGATCGGAGTATATCTTTTTTCGATCCCTACGATGCCCAGTCATTTCACACGCTCATCAAATTGACGCCTCAGCCCCATCAGATTTGAGCCATAAATCCCCAGCGCCAAAACACTGGTAAAGAAATGAAAAATCTCAATTGCCTTCAACCTGTGAACTCTGGCCGATAAAAAACAATAAATTTGTTTAAAAAAAAAGATATATATACAGCCAAACTACTAAATTGCAGGCACACATATCAACTGGAGTTGCGATACGTGCCTATTTTGGGGTACACTGATAGAAATTATAAATAAAAGCAATTAGTATGGGCTAGGGTAATTATTTACTTAAAAAATTTAATAAATTTTTATAACATATTTTTTTCCTATAGAATAAAAAGTACAGATATCTATGTAAAAAACCATTTAAAACTAGTTACCTTTCTCATACGCTTATTTTACCAGCGTAGACCAGCATAATTGAGTAATTAACTTGAAAGTCACTCGAAACGAAACCAGTTTTGCACTCGACTCGTTTCATTTCCAGGCATTCCACTCGACTCAGGTGCGCGCCAGTCAGTGCTGTCAGAATTTTCGAAATTAAAATTTCAAACTTCGAAGAAATGGTCCTAGAAACTACGAAATATTGTTTAATAATTCCCTAAAACAATCTATCAAATTAAAATGTTAATTTTCACCAAATAAATATATAATTTAGGTAAATTATGTGAGTTTTTGACTTAAAACTCACTCAGAATACTCAAGGAAAGAGTGAGTGTACCCCAGCATAACAACACTAGTCTGCGCAAGCAGGTTTTTGAGTGAGTTAATAGGAATAAAATGGAATTGAGTGTTCCGAATGTCAAAATATTCCGAAAATGGAATCGAAACAAACCTACAGCAATGTTGCTGCCTCCGTCGACGCCAGCAGCGCTGTCGCCGCTTATGCTGGCGCAGCGCAGATTGAGATACGTTCGCAGCGGTTCAAGATACTTTTGTTCAGTTCAAGTTGAGCGCTTTCTGACGTTCGTTCAAACGCATTTTCGCGGCCGCCTGCATTGCGCTTTCCGTTGGCGAGATTTTCGCGAAAGTTAACCAAACGCCGGGAATTGTTTATACTGCAAAAATCTAAATAAATAAAGAGAAATCATACAAATTCTGTGCTTGTTTTGTGCTCTCAAGTGCCTGCATCTACACACACATACACACCACACACACATCGTTTTGTTTTAAAACCCATTTCAAAAAGTGCCAAAGAGAAATGTTCTATGCAAAATCTTTATAAATAAATAATAAATCAATTATTAATTAATCTTGCACAGCAAATGAAATATTTAAATCCATCTGCCTGTCATATATTTTGAATGAAAAATTCATAACCAGTGCAGATTGCAGCAGCAACAAAAATAAATAAATAAATAAATAAAGTTGTGTGGGGCGAAAAGTTTTGCCTTTGGTTTTTCCGCACTTTCGACCACTTTTCGCTGTGACGCCTGCGCAGCTGACTGAAAAAATACAGAAAGAAAAAACAAATCTAATTGGATACTTGGCTGCCAAACGGACACCGGAAACGGAAGTTGGCTGCCATTTGCCATATAGACTAACTAGCAAACACAACAACTGGCCCAGGTAGGTGAATACCACGGGGACGGGGCTTTGGCTAATTAGCCAACTGCAACTAGGGAAATTCCATTGTTCAATATATAAATAATAGTTAGAATATAAATAGAAATGGAATACAAAATAAAACAAGGGGAATACTCGGGGGATTCGCATAAAGTTTTTGACACAGATTTCATGTGATAGTTTTTGAATTAAAAATAATTATGTTAAGTGATTTTTGAATGTATAAGTATTGAAAATTGTCCTCTCAACTAAGGTATTTTATTCAAAATTAACAATCAAAGTGCTTAAGCGTTATTTAAAATATATATATGTTAAATTAAATCAATATAACTTACCTTTCCAGCAGAGCGGAAAATAAGTACAATCTCTTCATGTTTCCCAAGGCTACTATCAACTATAAATCGAATCGATGTGTTCCTAGCTCGTAATATAAAGCTAGTTCTTGTTGACACCTATAAAATAATTGTTTAAAATACATTTTGTAATTATTTTACACGATTAGGGAATCTTGTGGAAAAATTTTGATTGATTTACATTCGAAGCCTTGCAGGGCATTATAATTGGATTCTTAAGCTTAGAACGCACTGAAGGAGTCATTTCCGACCCCATAAATCATACATATTATTGATCAGCATTTACAGCTGAATCTTTCTAGCTATTTCTCGGAGAAATAAATATTTTTCGAATTTTTCTAGATTTTATAAGGATTTACATCGTTAAAATTGTCAAAAAAAATTTTTTTTTTAATTAAATTTTTTAAAGCTTTAAATTCAGTATGCAGATCTATTACCCTAATGAAAAGTAGCTTAGAGTAGCTTTCCAAATTGAAATTAATTCATTTTTGGCTTAGTTATGATATTTTTAAGCTTTGGTTTTCCCAAAATATTGATAGCTATTCTTGGAGAGAATAAGTTGCAATTCTGCTGGCTTATTTTAATAAGAACTTTCACTAATATTTAGAAGATATAAAGCAAGCTAACCCGAAAAAATTCACACGATAACGACAATGACACCGAAACAAAAACAAAAAACAAAAAAATTAAAACAGCAAAAAAGAAACTCAAGCAGGCGTTTGTCACAAGCTTCAAAACATGCCAAAATAATGTCAGTCCGTCGGTTTGAAATTGTTGGCGTTTCTTTTGTGTTGTTGTATTTTGTTGCTGTGGTTTGTATTTTCTCGATGTTTGTTTATTGCCTTTGCATCTCTGGCATCTCGTCGTAGCCAGGCTTTTTATGGCCTGCGTTTTATAGTATGATTAAATTTGACAGTTGACAGCGTTTTGGCCTTATCGGACTGGCTGGAATCGCTCCACTTGGCGTGTCTTGTGTGTGTGTTGTGTGCGTTAAATGTTAATTGTTGACAATTTTCGTATAAATTGACAATTCAACTGGCGTTTTACATGTCTCTCTGCGCTGAGTATGTGTGATGTTGGCCTAATGCATTATTAACTAGGCCAACATCCGAATGACTACGCACATCCAATTAAGCCGCAGTTTACAAGGGCGTGATTTAATGGCCCGACTTTTGTTTACATTTCTTGGCGTTTTTATTCTAGCTGAACTGATATTTTTTTGGTTGTAATATCATGGATAATGAGGGGCAAACTTAACAGGTGATTTACATTGACATTAGTTGCTCTATTTGCGGTTGGTAATCAAAGCTGTGAAGTACAACCCACTTGGCATTGAGACTAAGAGGTTGAAGATAATAGTAGAGAATTGTAAAGATACTTTTAATGAGTCTTTGTGAGTTAGTTGTTACAGGCAATAAATTATATTATGGTTAATAAAGATAATTTACTCTATTTCTGAAGAGAAGTTGTTAATACAATTACAGAGATACTAAGTAAAGCTTAGAATTTTATTAATTTTACCTTCTTTGTATTAACTAATACCTCAAAGATTTATTTACCACATTCAATACAATTAGAACATGTATTTCTGATTTATAATTAGCAAAATATATTTACTTATATTTTCCTTATCTAACTCAAGTCAAAGATGCCCCATTTGAATAATTATCCCCACTATAATATCCAATTAATCTCAATATCAGCATTAGCTGACTTTTCTGTACTGCAATAAATCAAACCGAAAGATACCAGCTTAAGCTCCTATCTAAACTATTCCCATAATTGTTTATCTAGGCTGCCTGAGATTATGCTGTTGTGAAAGATAGAAAGAGCCCTTAGTTTAAACGTGCTGAAATGTTCAAAACAAGCTACCAAAGTGACAAAACTTTTCTTCTTTGGCAAACTTTGCTTTTTCGCACACATTTACACAAAGAAACAAAAACAATCTCTCCCTTTTTAGTTTCCGACTTTTTGTGTGCCCAAGTCAGGCAATGTTTCTTGCTGCAACAAGCATAAACATAATAAAGAAAACATAAAAAAGTAAATATAAAAAATATACGTATATAAAGTAACAAAATGGTGTAAAAGAAAATCAGCACAAGGTCAGGCCTCTGAGAAACACCTCGATAAGCAGAGCTGCCCTTTGGCACCCAACTCGCGGCTCTTAACTCTCAACTTTTAACTTTGAGCTCTCAACATTTGCTTAAGTGCCGGCGACTTCCGTGCGACAAATTTTTAGATTTTGAAAACAAATTTGCAACACGTACACGCTCGCCAAATCGAAGCTATATGTATATTTTTTGTAAGCCAGAAAGTCTTTTTAGACTTTCTTGGGGCTCAAATTTAAATAAGCAAACGAACTCTTTGCTGGTCAAAGATTTTTAATTTATGAACCCCATGGCTATTATAATTCGCACTCTCAGAGGGTTTTTTTTGCATAAATACAGTGAAGATTTGTATATAAAAAACTTGAGTTACAAAGAAATTTAATACTTATTAATAACATTTAATCATAGAACCTAAACTAATATGGTAGCATATGTATTTATGTTATTACTCTAAAATTATTAAATGCCTCATTCAACATTCATATCTATAAGCAAACCTTTTTAGACAATTTTTTATGGACTCCACTGTAACGTGTGTTCCCTGTACCAATGTGTCTTTCATGTTTCGTTCTTTCCATGGCCATTTGTTCTAATGTTTATTCAAATTTCGCTGGCCGATTGTCTCTCGCCCGGCTGCTTGAGTCTGTCCTGTGTCTATGTCTATGTCTGGGCCTGAGTTTGGAGTCTAGAAGAGCAGAGTCTAGACTGCAGACTGCGGAAGGAAGCCCAAGATGGAGAAGCTCCCGCTGCCTGCACTTGAACTTGAGACCCTCACAAGTGTTTGTTCCCTCACAGAATCCACCGTGTGTGTGGGTTCGGTGGTTGGTGGCAACCCTTTTCCTTTTTTTTTGTTTTGCACATTCTTCCCCTCGCATGTGTGCAGCTAGTAAAAAACAAAAACATGAATGAAATAAGCCTGGACGAGGGTGATATCGTTGACTCTGCTGCTGGTACAAACTCCCCCTAGACCCAGGCCAGAGAGTGAGATTCAGACCCGGAGCCCGAACCCGAGCCAGACACCTTTGTTTGCCCAGATCTTGATGTCTGGGGCGAGAGTGAGCCGCTTAGTGGCTTCCCCAATGGGCAACGGACGCTTGTCAACTATTGTCGAGGCCTTAATTAGAGATTTCTATTATCTGCCAGCCATTATGCCGATAGATTTAGCTGAGTTTGCTCATTTATATTCGTATATAACATATATATAGTGTGTATAAATTATATACACCAGACAGCAGACAGGAGAGTTGGGGGAATTGAACTTTGCCACTTAATTGAAACTTTTGCCTGCTCCACTAGGCGTATGCGTAATATGCGTAATATACGTATAGTTGCAACTGCCAAAAAGTTATGCCAAGCAGTTTGTTCCTTGAACTTGCTCACTTGGCTTAAATATTAATTACAAGTGCTTATTGCCAAATAATATTATGAGAGTCTGGAGGATATCATGATGCTGATGGTTTTGGGGGAAATCCAATTAGAGAAGCATTTGATTTTGAGTTCATTTATTACGATAACTTGTTTGTGATTTAATTGAACAGAAAGCTAACTTGTAATTTACTGATCTACTTTAACGGTCTTTGCTTGCAGACACATAATTTGCTAGCAGTTTAAGTCTAAAAGTAAGTTAATTGAGCTTGAAATTAATTCAATAGAATTATATACTCATCCAAAACCCAATTAGCACTTCACCAAGCAAACAATACTGATTACCATCTTATTTAATAATTCTAATTATATATTTCACCATTAAATATTATTCTTAAAATCTATAAAAGTTTAGCATAGACAAATAAATTAATTTTCTTGAAGTTTCTTAAATAAACAAGATAATTTCAAACTATTTATGTGCTTCAAGCCAAAATATATCAATCTTAGACCCTTTCTAATTAGAAATATCTAAAAACTTATCTAGAACATGTAAATATATTCCACACCATAAGAAACCTTAAAAAGAAATGCAAAAATCGAATATCAAGATAAGTTTTCAAACTCTTTTAATGAACAATACAACTTCAGCCTATTTATGTGTTTTATCCAATCATAAGACATTTCTATCTCTTTTTAGACACATTCAGCTAATCAAAAATAATGCAAATGAAGCTAATTTCAACTATAATGTGTTTATATATTCCGCTAATACAAAGTATGCTCTGCTTAGAGATATTTCTTCGATTTATCCCACAAGAAAATCAGAAGAAAGAACACGCCGACGCCAAATACGAAATAAAAAAGAAAAGAACGACTTTGATATGGGCTGATGATGAGCTCTAATTTCGAAATTATACAAGATTGGCTGAGTGAGAGAGGGGCTCAAGAGCCAAAGAACTGGAGAACTGGAGCTGAGGATGGAGATCTGAAGAGGCTGGAGCTGTCAGCTTGGAGCCCAGTTTTTGGTTTCAGGTTGTGTCTTTGTATTTCTTGTTTTTGTTGGGCACATAACAAGTTAATTTTGATGTAAATTTGTGTTTTGGTGAACGAATAATGGCAAGAAACCGAGCGAGAGGGGGAGAGGAGAGACCGGTTAACATAATCACTTAATTTT